GCAGAATTTTTTCTGTAATAATTTTGTGCCTTCTAAATGACTTTCTTAGGTTGGTTAATTTAAAAAAAATAATAATCGAAACCAGTAAACAAATTTTATTGGAACACCGCCAAGCCTATTTATTTATAAAGGAAAACAAAACTTCAATCAGCCTATGGTTTACTGTGGGATTCATGGTCAGTGAGGGCTGTGTGTCGCTGACACAGTCATGGCCTGGTGCCCTGGAGTGTTTCTTGGCATTGCCAGTCATTTCCCACTGGACTCACTCGGCCCCATTTCCTACTCCTGAAACAAATCATCCCCAATTACTGCCTCAACTGAATGGAGTATCTGAGCTGGTCAAGACAATTTGGCTACATCTAGAGCCAAAAGCAAAGAACCTAATGACTCATCTCCAATTTTTTAAGTCCAATAATAGAAGATACTCTGTGATTAAAGAGTTAATTATAGGTTAAGTTTAGTGCAATATTAATTAATGCACTAAAGTTCTGAGCTCCCACTTCTCTCTGCCTATAAAGAGCTGTTGCTGTACATTCCTCGAAGCGATTTTATTTTAATATGATACAGAGAAGTAATAACCATAAGAATTCGAAAGGAACTTAGAGGTCATATTGTCACCTTGTTCACACTGCATTTTATTTGTATTTTACAGTTGATGAAACTGAGGCTCAGAGAAGTAAAGTTATATTTTCCAGACTCTATAACAGGCTTGTAGAAGAGCCAGAGCTAGAAACCAGTTTTTCTGACCCGGTGGTTTTAAGCTCTACCAATCATGGGATCGTAAAGAGTCGGACACGACTGAGTGACTGAACTGAACCGAACTGAATTAAATGAGCCTATTTGACAACATAACCTTCAAGTACAATAGTTTATAAATTTCAGAAGAAATGTGCCAGAGAATCTGTATCAGAAGGAGCTTTCAGAAGCATCCAATCTCACTTCCCAGTATGTCAGGAATCCCGTTAGAGTTCACAGAGAGAGGATATTAGAGTAATGCAGCTGCCGCGGCTGTGACCCCAGTCATTTAACAATACCCGTGATCCCAACAGGCGGCAGCTTCCACATGGTGACTCAGGAACCCAGCCTCCTTTTATCAGTGGCCTCCTCTTCCCAGGGTTTCCACCCCTTACATGCAGGAGGAGCATAGGGCAAAAACAAATGGAGAAAGGTTCTTAATCTTGGTCTTGAGAGAATACATCTCAATAGTTCTCAGTGAGAACTATTCACCTGTCCCTATTGAGTTGCAAGAAAGGCTGACAAGTGCAGTCCATGGCTGGACAGCTGCCTCTGTACTCTGCTGAAGGAGGCTTCATCTTTGACTTAGGCAGCTCCAATCAGCCAAATGCAACCTTCTGGGGAAAAGTGCAGGTGTAATTAGCAGCCAACACTGGTACTTCAGTTTGTAAAGGGGATTGCATGCATGCTCAGTTGCTTAGTTATGTAACTCTTTGCGACCCCGTGGACTGTAGCCCACCCAGCTCCTCTGTCCATGGAATTTCACAGGCAAGAATATTGGAGTGGGTTGCCATTTCCTCCAGGGGATCTTCCCCTCCCAGGGATCAAACCCACGTCTCTTGTGTCTCGTGAATTGGCAGGCGATTCTTTAGCCCTGAGCCACCTGGAAGGCACCAATAGCATCTGCTACAGTCTACCCTTTGTACCACTCAGAGCCAATTGTTTCTCATGTTATTGTCATTCCATGTGGTTGCAGGTCCTCCAGCATTCTGGTTGGTGCAATTTCTGGTACTTTTAAGAGGAGAATTATTGAAACAAATTACAACTTTGATGTTGCAGGCCGTCCTCAGGTTAAAAGTAGTAGTTGTTCTGGTCTACTTGTTTGCACAGCTTTGTTGCTTTGGGGAACTGCTCGAGCCCAGTTTCAGATGCACTGTTTCCATCTTATGATGGATGCTGCTGGTGTACCCAATCTTATGATTTGGTAGGTCTGACCAAACCCAGCCCTGGTGGGCAGCCCTTGTTTCATATCATTTGATGTCTCGTAATCAGATAGTCACTTCCAGGTTGCAATAATGTGTCCGACGCTGTTTTGTGAATGGTGTATAGTTCTCTGCTACTGGTAACACAGCCTGGCCCAAGAACCCTAGAGATCTTCACTGAAATTCTCACATTTAGGGTTCTCAGGTATTTCACACAGCATCTTTATTTACCACAGATACATAAATACCTTAGAATTTTGGGGGTCATGTGGCCCAAAAGGCAGTGTTTCTTATACCATAACCTAGATCCACTACAGAGCCCTTTTGTATTCTAAGTCCCACTTAAACTGGTAGACTTCCTCATGTTGCAAGCTCAGTTGCTCAGTCATGTCCAACTCTTTACAACCTCGTGGACTGTAGCCCACCCTGCTCCTCTGCCCAAAGGATTTTCCAGGCAAGAATAGTAGAATGGGTTGACATTTCCTCCTCTAGGGGATCTTTCTGACCTAGGCATCAAACCCGTCTCCAGCATTGGCAAGCGGATTCTTTACCACTGAGCCATCTGGGAAGCCTAGTAAACTTCCTCATCACTCATTAGCTATTTTCATTTACAACTTTTAATTTTGAAATAGCTAAAGACTCCCAAGAAGTGGCAAAGATAGTACAAGTATTCCCGTGTACCAAGCTTCCCCGTTTTCCTCATACACGTTAAATACCCAGAGCCACTGCAGAATTCAATGCAGCTTCTTCTTCCTATATTTTGTCCTAGTTCTCTGCAGGTGAGAATCTTAGCAATGGTATACACTACCAGCAAGTCAAGCAGTAACAATAGTTCACTCGCTACCGATGATGTGGTTCTCATTGCCATCTAGTGGGTGAGTACTCCAACGCCGAACCTACATCCAGTTGGCTTCCTAGGACCATTCCTCTCACTAGCTGTCTTAAATCACTTTTTCTATGAATGGGAATCTGAGGTGGGACTTCTTACTTAAAAGATTTTAAGGAGGAACCTTTTAGGGAGTGAAAAAAAAAAGTAGGAGACAGCAGGGGATGAAGTTCAGTAAAGATGTGGCTTTAGAAGTCTGGTCTCAGCTTGATCCCACGGGAAGCCCCGAATCATGAATCACTCCACCCAGAGGCATCATGTCCTGTGTTAGTGGCTCAGTCGTGTCCAACTCTTTGTGACCTTGTGGACTGTAGCCCACCAGGCTCCTCTGTCCATGGGATTCTCCAGGTAAGAATACTGGAGTGGGTTGCCATTCCCTTCATCCAGGTATCTTCCCAACCCAGGGATCGAACTGGGGTTTCCTTCATTGCAGGTGAATTCTTTGTCATCTGAGCCATCACAGGTGAAGGCCGCTAATCCTTTCGTCACTCAGCCTTTGTCCACGGCCTTCCGCTGGCTGGGGAGGTGTAAGTTATTGCCGTTATCTCCTGGACCAGTGCCAGGAGAAGAGGCTCCTGCAAGCCAAGGGCAGTTCCACATGAAAGGACGAAGGCCTGAGCCAGGAGCAGCCAACACCCACAGCACCTGGGGGATGGATGCACACCCTGGGGAGGGGCATACGGGCAGGGCCTCCAACAGCATCTTCTGTCCCTCCCTGAGGAGATGATACAGGTTCAAAGCTGGATGATGAGAAGGAGGCAGCCACGGGAAAATCGATGGATGCACACCCTGGGGAGGGGCATACGGGCAGGGCCTCCAACAGCATCTTCTGTCCCTCCCTGAGGAGATGATACAGGTTCAAAGCTGGATGATGAGAAGGAGGCAGCCACGGGAAAATCCTGGGAAGATCATTGCAGGTCGTTCTGACATGAGAACTCACTTGTCATGTTTGGAGTGCAGAAAGGCCATTGCAGTGGAATGGGGTGACGGAGGTGAGGATAGAGAGACTGAGCTTGTGAAGCTGACAGAGCGGGAGGACACAGGCAGCGGCTGGGCTTTGTTCTGACCACCGCTTCGCAAAGACCCTATGCATCTTTAAGGTATGTTAATAATGTTATTTGTTTTTGTACTGAGAAAATCTGAGAGGTGTGATTAGAAACGTTATTCCCTACCACTCAGCCATAAAAAACAATTAAATAATGCTATTTGCAGCAATATGGATGGACCTAGAGATTATCGCACTAAGCAGTCAGAAAAAGAAAGTCAAATACCATAGGCTATCACTTATATGTGGAATCTGAAAATGACACAAATGAACTTATTTACGAAACAGAGTCACGGACACAGGGAGCAGACTTGTGGTTGCCAGAGGTGAAGGGGGTCTGGGGGAGGGATGGATTAGGAGTTTGGGGTTAGCAGTGCAAACCATTGTGTAGAGAATGGATAAACAAAGTGCTACTGTATAGCACAAGGGCCTATATTCAATATTCTGTGATAAACTGTAATGGAAAAGAATATGAAAAAGAATGTACATATATGGGGAGATATATATATATATAGCTGAATCACTTTGCTCTACAGCAGAAATTAACACATTGTAAATCAGCTAATACTTCAATGAAATGTTTTTTAAAAAAGAAATGTCATTCCTGCTTTTATTAAAAATACACACCCCCACATTAGCTCATAGCTCATTTCAAATGTATCAGATCTTAGATATGAATGTATGAGCTCTTAAATATCATTGCTTTCATGAATTTTCATAAGTTAACACAGCAGGTCCAATCTTGACCTTGCGTGCCTTATTTATTCCTTCTAATCAGGCTATACTTAAATGAACTACCTTTGAAAGGGAAAACAGATTAGTCACCCTAAATGGTTTACTTAAAATACTTCATCATAAAACAAAACAAAACAAAACTGCACCTCCTGGTACTCCTACACCACACACTGATTTTTTCCTCTCTGCGTTATCATCTGTCTTTCTGGTAAAAGTGTTTTATAACCTTTCTTGGAGGTTAAAATGGCTCTAATAGGGCCTTCCCTGGTGGTCCAGTGGCTAGGACTCAGTCCTTTCACTCCCAAGGGCTGGGATTTGATCCCTGGTTGAGGTATTATCCCACAAGCTGTGCATGGAAAAAAATGCCTTACTGACCTGATTGATAAAGGTAACTTACCACATGCAGCTAAACTCATTTCCAGGATAGGTTGACCACGTGCTCAAGCCTGGTTTGTGCACTTCATTCACTCCGATATAAACCATCTCGATGGAGGTCCCTATTCCCCATCTGCATAGCTTTGATCCTAATCGGGACTTCTTACCTGGATTTAGGTTCAAACCAGTTTATTTATCTCTTAATCTTCAATCCATCCTTTGAACTATTGCCAGATTAGTTTTTCTCAAACTCTGTCATGATCATTAATAGTAATCTCTTTCAACCACTGGTTTGGAATTTAAAATCCTCTATAACCTGGATCCTTTTTTCCTAAGATTACCTTCTTTTATTTCCCAGCACAGAACTTTTCTCTGCCCAGGATATCCTCACATATTCTGTAAACATAGTGATTTTTCCTCATTGCCTCTGTTTATGCTTTTCCCATGTGTGGAAGGTCCTTTCTAGCTCTCACTGGCTTGCATCTGAACCATTGCTCAAATCCAGCATCCTGCTGGAACCTGCTCTGATTTCTCTGACACTCTAAAGCTTAACTCTCCTCTGGAGGGTAGCACCAGCTGAGGCCCGATCACCTAGTCATCACTTAGGATAAAATGTACCTGTGATTGCTTGAGAACCCCCATGACCTTTGTCTCCTAATACCAGGAAGAAAATGAAGCTTGCTGTACTTGCAAGATAGTCTCTTAAATCCCCAGAAAAGAACAAAGAATGCCCAAGTTAATTTTCCGGATCAAAGAAAGAACAGAGGTGTCACAGCTCATTGCTAGGGGTAATTAAATATATCTTGTGTTACTTCACCGAAAGAGGATTTCTTTCGTTTTCAGTTTTCAAATTTTTACGTATCAGGTGTAATTCCACTGCAAAGCACTGAGGGGTGGATCCAAAGGGTTTAAGCTCCCCTTTGTGAATAAAATGCTCTATCTGAAAATTTGATAGTTACAGAAGCATTGAAGAATTTCTACCTCTGATTTCTATAATATCACAATATCTATAACAGGTAATGACAAAGACTTTCCTTATTAAAAAAAGCTTTTTTTTTTGAGCAACACAGCAGAGACCTCTTCTGGTCAAGAAGCAGAAGGCTTAGGCAGAGAACCAACTTGGAAAAGGTTAAGGTGGAGAGAATTGGTATTGGAGAAAAAAGACTATGAAAGAGGTTTCATAGAAGAAACAGTTGTATTGAATATGAAACTGACAGCAGAACAGAAAGGAGTGCCTTCCACACGTGGGGAGCAGTGTCTGCAAAGGTAAAACACAGCAGTGTTTGCTGCAGATAAGTTACAAAGATGCAAGGATATAAATAAGAATCATAACTCCACCTTTCAGAACTAACATTGTAAACATTTTGATGTTCTGGCTTCCAGCCCTGTTTTCTGGTCATAGGCATTCTTCTTATCCACACAATTTGATACATCCTGACTTTTTTATCCAGACTTCCATCCCACATATTTTGCCACATTCTCCTTTTTGAAAATTTTAACCTTTTTTTTTTGTTTTTGTGTAGCATGTGCACCCACTACAGTGGAGGTGCAGATTTCTAACCACCTATCACCAGGGAAGTTCCATTTTAACAGTTTCTAATGAAAGTTGCTAATAAGATGATTCCTGCATTTTCTCAATTGTTTCTTCCTTATGTCTGCCCCTTGCCTTTCCTACTTGGTGAGATTTTGGATGGTTTTCAGTCTTTGTCCGTTTTTTGTCTAGTGACAAGCACCTTGCTGGGCTGAATGCCCACGTGGACAGTTGTGCCATTAGCTTCCTCTTGCTTCACTCAGGGTAGGTGACATACTTCTCCCCATAAGCTCGGGCTGTGTTGCCAGTTTGCTGCTGTTTGCAGGGCCTTCGCAAAATCTGAACTTTTTCATCCTTTCAAATAAGCACGGGTCGAATACTGCTCTTCTGTCTCAGCTCTTTGGAAAGAGGGGAAGACATAATCTTCCTGTGAATGTGGGGAAGTGCACTGATGTGCCTTTTCTGGTTCTTGCTTTGATGAGAAGCCACAAAAGAATTGAACTTCATTTTGTCTGCTGGTGCTTCAGCAGTGGCCACTGTTTTGGCCACATTCTTAAAAGAAGGAAGACGCTTTCTGACAGCCAGGCTTCTAGTGGTAAATCACATGAAAAGCCAGAGAAGTCGTAGTGAAGCCTTTGGAACTGGTCCCTGTATTGCCAGGGCCCCAGTTGTGCACTGGGGTGAAGAGAACTCAGGGAGTGTAGTGCTGGCTCCATTCCAGCCAGTGCTCACCTTCTCTGCCAGACACCCCTGTGTGGGACACACCTATTCACCTGCTCTTGGCGGCCCCTTAACCTGCTGGAAGCTAATTCAGTTCAGTTCAGTCGCTCAGTCGTGTCTGACTCTTTGCGACCCCGTGAATCGCAGCACGCCAGGCCTCCCTGTCCATCACCAACTCCTGGAGCTCACTCAAACTCAAGTTCATCGAGTTGGTGATGCCATCCAGCCATCTCATCCTCTGTCGTCCCCTTCTCCTCCTGCCCCCAATCCCTCCCAGCATCAGGGTCTTTTCCAATGAGTCAACTCTTTGCATGAGGTGGCCAAAGTATTGGAGTTTCAGCTTCAGCATCAGTCCTTCCAATGAACACCCAGGACTGATCTCCTTTAGGATGGACTGGTTGGAGCTCCTAATTAGTAATGGTCAAATATGATCACCTATATTCTCAATATGTGTAAAATATATCCCTTGGCACTTTTGACCCTGGAAATCTCAGAGATTTTCCAGTCATGGGGATTAACCCACCTGGGCCAAGATGCAGCATGATAATCTGCTCTCTTGGGAAGAAATTCAGAGTTTTAAATTAAACCACAGTGGAATGGGGACTCTTTTAAAACACATTTATCTATTTATTTGGCTGAGCTACATTTTTTATTGAGGCATGTGGGCTCTTAGTTGCAGCATGTGGGATCTAGTTCCCTGACCAGGGATTGAACCAGGGGGCCCTCTTCATTAGGGGTTCAGAGTCTTAGCCACTGGATCACCAGGGAAGTCCCTGGAATTTTTAAAGAAGGAAGCCATGGGTACAAGTTAGAGTTTACATTTAAGAGAGTGAAATTAGATGAGGAATAATCTGAAAGAGAATCACTTACTAGGATGTAACTTAGAGGGCCACACAAAATTAGAGAAAATTAAGTAGAACAGAATAATTGATACTGTAGGGTGATGAGACTGTCCCTGAGCTAGTTACCCTAAAGTGCCTAAAGGAATTTAGATAGAAGGCTTATTACAAGGATAGAGCTATATCACCAGAGATGTCTGCAAAAACATGAGCAAGGTATGGTGGGGGAAACGCTCAAGGTCTCTATCCAGTCTATGTCCCATTGTTTCTGCACGGCCCAACAAACATTTACGGAACATTTGCTTTTCCATCTCCATGTCAGTTACGTTCTTCCTCTTTGAAGCCCAAATCACTATTCTCAAATCCTCTTCTCTCTTTAGCTGAAGATGATATATAAAGTGAGGGTTTCAGTCATTTTGGTGAGTTACTCAGTTTTCCTGGGTCTCTCCCATGTATACATGTTATTTAACGTTTGTTTGATTTTCTCCTGTTAATCTATCTCATGTCAATTCAATTCTTAAACCCACCAGAAGAACCTAGAATAGAGGAAAATTTTTTCGTCCCCAACAAATGTTGATGGACATTTGTTTCTACCTTTGGGCTATAATGAATAATGCTGCTGTGAACACTGGTGTACAAATATTTGTTCATCACTGCTTTTAATTCTTTGGGGCATATGCCTAGAATTGAAATTGCTGGATCATAAGGTAATACTGTGTGTAATTGTTTGAGAAACCACTATATTGTCTTCCACAGCAGTGTGTCATTTTTACACATAGTCATTCTTATTTCTTAAGTTATGTGAATCAATTCTTCGCTGTAGGATATTGATACTTGGAATCACTGAACCAATATGGAAAGTATATCTCAGCTAAAATTATATGATGCATTATAGAGTTGTCTACCAAACACCTGTAATAACCATATTAGTTAGTTACCAGTCTCTTAGGGGTATGTGTGTTGGTGAGGGAGGAAGAAAGAAAGTAAAAGTAAGTAAATCAGAAAAGTAGCAAAAATAATCCCACATCCTCCTACTTTGTCTCAGTTTGGTTTACCTGAGTTTTTGAAGAGATGAATCATAAGGATGGAATGAGGAGGAGAAAAAGAGAGAGGAGTGTGGTGAAGATAGATGGTGGGACTGGATCAGTCTGCTGTTTCTTAACTGCTTACTCTGAAGTTAATTTCAGTGAGACAGTGTTCCTTGCTCCTCTACTTCATCTCAGGAGTTCTCAGAGATTATTTTCTTTCTAAGATATAATAATGTAAAAAAATATGCAGTTGCCTTATAGCCTTTGAATAAATTAAACCTGTAGGTGAAATATTTATGGAAGAGAGAGAGACTGAACTACTTGATTATTTTATTCTTTGATCAGATCAGTCGCCTCCTGAAGCCGTGGGAAATCACAGTGCTTTGGTACTTGGAGAGAGGTGAATGCAGAGGCATATCTACAATTTTTATTTCTGGCGGGCCTTTCTTCAAGACAACTTTACGATCTTCCCCATGGCAAAGCCTTTCACTGTGATCCAAAAACAGAGTGTCTTCCAAAGGGCCAGCATGGATCCCACATGCTTCTGCGTGCTAAGAGGAAGAAAAAATCTGCTGTATATCACACCAAAAACCACTTTATTATATTAAGATGGAAGTTGCCCAGTAGTTTTTCTGGTACTGTCAAGAAGGAATCTCTAGTGGGCAGAGCAATAACCCTTTTTTAAAAAGCAGTGCTAACTGGTGTCTTCCAACCAACAGGAAGAGCCAGTGGTGTGGACTGCAGACTCTAAACTTGGAGTCAGATCACTGACCTTTAGCTTCACCACTTATGTGTCCTTGTACAAGTCATTTATGCACTGTGGGACTCAGTTTTCTCAAACATAAAATGGGAATTATTAAACAATTCTTTAAGTGTTGAATAAAACATTATATGTGAATGAGAAATATTTTGCTGACTTTCAAAGCTCTTTTTAGGGCTTCCCTGCTGGCTCAATGGTAAAGAATCTGCCTGCTAGTGCAGGAGACTTGG